AATACCAGAGAAGTGGGTGATCCGGAATAAAAAATGATTTTACCGAGATATACTACCCTCTTAACTTTAAAAGAACTGGTTGGACCTGTCGATTATTATATTTGATGATTGACAATATAACTTAGGTAGAAAAAAAAAGAAAAAGTACAAAAAACACTACTGAAACTAGTCCTTTTAGGTCTCCAAACTCATTGGGTCTTCCTGCGTAGTACGCACCGCACCAGCCAAGCAGATACACAATGTATATTTCTTTTTAATGACTGACAATGTAAGTCAGTTTAAAAATAATAAAAAAAAAAAAATGACGGATGGCCATAAAATACTGCTGAAAAAAAATTTCTGAGGCCACAACGCGCCAGCCCTCGGTCGGGGATTTTGAGGGGTAAGACGCTCCAGCCCTGCGTCTATACTACACTTTCATCCAGTAAAAATGTACTTCAGTCACTTGTACAAGTCATACTATTAAATTTATTTTTGTTCTTTCTTTCACTATACAACAGTTAGATATATTTAATTCATCTGTATATGGAAATACATTCGTGCACAGTGCCAGGGTTAGGGCTTATTACCACCACGCAAATCTATGACTCTCTGCTACATGTGAGTTTTTATAAAGTAGAATTCATATATAACACAAATTTGATCAAAACCTCCTTATGTACAATAATTATCATTACAGTTTTACAGGTGGTCCTTGACTTACATCGGAGATCCGTTCATACGGCGCGACGTAACCTGATTTTTGTTGTAGGTCGGAACTCGCCTACAGTCTGTCTTACGCTTGTGAGCCCTAATGAAGTTCTAAAAGTTAACAAAAAAAACAACAAAAAACCAAGCGGGAGATAGCGAATATAGCTAAATCCAATATGGCGTACAGCCAGTGAAGAAACAACGTTGTCTTCCTCATATAGCGCAGCGTGACGACGTATTATGGGAGATGGCACCGTAACCACGAAATGCCGTAGGTCGGGTCCGACGTAACCCAAGGACCTTTTGTATATCAGAAATTATTTGTTCTACTCATTCATATCCCCACTCTTCACAACACCCAAGAAATCCTGAATTTTGAATGAATCTGCAAATTTAATTCCATTAGAATATCTGTGAAAAAAAAACAATTATTAATTTGACAAACATTGTCAACAAGATAATAAAAAAATCTCGAGGAAAACTTTGTTCGTGCGCTTGAAATCACAGTGTGAACAACGGAAGAACAAGTAATACAGTAAGTAATAGAAAGCACATGTGCTGGATTCAGTTTGTTCACTTCCATTGACGCTGTTATACATTTAGAAGGTCTGTAGCAGCTCGTGTCAACCATCTGAAATAGAAAATTAGGGGTGACAAGACTTTTGGACCGCCCTGTTTGTCTGAAAAAGAACAGCATACCAAATATAGTGATGTTAAGAAGCACAAAGGTCCGAACAGAAATCGACTTCAGCAGTAATATTATTACTCTAGTCACTGTCGCGGTATCATTCTTTCCCAGGGACTTTTTTTTCGTGGGTTAATAAGAGCATTTCTCTTTTGATGTGGATAGCGTAGTGATAATATTGATCATATCATAATATTGATTCATAATCTCTCACCGTACTTTAGAAGAAATGGCTGCATTTTCTAACAATATTTTCTAAAAATAGGTCAAGGCAGAAAATAATGTAAATTAAATATCTAAAAAAAATAAACGATAAATTACCCCAAAGAATGTAACAGAGACCATCAATGAATGTGCATTATCCGACAAAAGAGATTTAAACTTTGTGCATTGCCGAGAACAAATAAAACATTTCAATTTCATTCATTAGAAATAATCTGAAGACATTTTTTGTATTTACCTAAAAAACGTTTCGGTTAAAAGTCGCATTGAATAATTTGGTCAATGAATGCTAGAAAGCAGATTATTAAGATAAAAAAGAAAAATTATTTTTCGTACTTTATTGAGGATGCCTTTATTTTCTTTCTAATTTTATGATAAAGTTAAAAAAAAGAAAATATCTGTTTTAAAGGCAACTTCAATAAAGAACGAAAAATAAACGGAATTTTTTCCTCCTTAGCACTTTTATTAATAATGTGTTTTGTGTAGAAATTAGAATTAAGAATAAAAAAGATAAATAATTGAAGTTTAACAATAAAAAAGTTTTTCTAACAATATAATCAAAATAAAATGTATTCTTTAAAGTAACAGTATATTTTTTTTTACAATTAATCTCCCAAACAAATAATTATAAAAAAAATAATTAGAATCGGCTGCGGGCAATTTTTGTTCCTAGCCCGGGTGTATGCGCTCGGGTCCCCACCTTAAAAACTGACCTTGTGTCGCAACTCGTCTTAGTGGGGAGACAGAAATAACTAGTTAGATAGAATCGTGTACAGTCTAACCCGGATATAAGAGAGTTGTCGGGACCGGAGAAGAAGTCTCTTATATCCGGGTTTCTCTTATATCCGGGTTTGGTCTATTTTGTTTACATCAACACAGGCTCTAATTTGGGACCAGAGAAAATCTCTCTTATATCCGGGTTTCTCTTATATCCGGGTTTCTCTTATATCCGGGTTACATTATATTATTAAATGACCGTAAAAATAATTATCATTACAAAATTACATGTACTCAGTGTTTTTTTTATCAAAAGAATAAATAAATAAATCAGGTAAATGATGCATACCATAAATTTTATGATGCTAACTAACAATAACAACGTATTTATTTAGAAAATAATGGTTATGAAAGTGGCTGCGGGAGACCAGTTGGCATCCAACCATTTCTCATATAGAACCGGTCTGCCCTGCTATCTGGAAGGGGGCGGGAATTCATACCTTTCCCAAGGGTATTTAGCACGTAAGTGAATGCAATGGATTTTTACTGCAATTCGAACTCGGTTCTCCTATTCCTCAACCCGAGCAGCTATCCATTTTACTTACTACATAAGCAATGGGAAAATTTTTTTTTTCACTTTTCTCCCGAATAATAATAATAATAATAATAATAATAATAATAATAATAATAAAATGAAAATGATAATAAAAAATCAACTTTATAGCACTTAAAAATGGTAAAGCTGAGCTTTTTTCTCTCATGCTTTATTAGCTTTTCCCTCCCAAAAAAGATCGTCTGACTGGCCAACCACATGTGTTTGTTTACAACCGAATTTTAATACCAACTTATTTGGTCGTAAGTAAAAGGCATACCGGTGAATCAACCCGGTTTAAAAGTGTACTTCAAATAAAAGTAGTAATAATTCATATTGTTATTTTTTCATTGATAGGTCAGTGAATTTCGATACCATAACAATGTTTATGTTGCTGGAACATCAAAAATAGCATAAGTAAATAAATAAAAAATAATGTTTGTTTTCTAAGCTAAACACCTAGAAACTGTAAGGACAACGACAATGACCTAAAAAAATTAATTTACCTGTGTTGTTAGGTGACGTTTACATTTTCTCATATTGATCCCGCATGAGGCTTTATGCGAGCTGAATGAATATATATATGCAGGGAGGTGCAAGGCTTTCGTGCCCCCATCCTAAATTTATTATACGCCCTCCCCCCCCATCTGTGATACGGGGCCTCCAAATATCAATTTTCATGAAGTTGTATTCATTTAAAAAATTAAAAACAAAACGGTTAATGAATCATTTGCAATATAGGTGAACAAGTCAACTAGAAAAATTGAAAATATAATCATTATATTTTATTAAATAATGTCATAGAGCTCCTTCCATAAATAAATCAACATTTATTTCACAAGGGTAATTTTTTTTTTTTTGGACGATAGAGTAATGTAATGAATAGCGGCTCAGATTCCAGTTAAAAATCCATTACATTCACTTACGTGCTAATTCCTTGGGAAAGGTATGAATCCTCTTGTTTCTCCTGAGTAAATATAGCAGGACAGACTGGGTTCTATAGCTTTGGATAGTAACTGGTCAACTGCAGAAAGAAACGGTAACCTACTGCGGGTGAAAAAATCTGCCTCGTCAGTCATGTGTCGAAAGATACATGATCGCCTAAGCATGTATCACACATGGCACATAACTGACTGACTGAATTTTTTTTAGCATCTACTTGAGATTTTTATTGTTTTAAACAGATTGAAGAAATTTAAAATACATTCAATCAAGATTATGGATAAAAAAAAGTGAATTTTCGGAACTTAAACATGAGCAAAAACAAATTCACGGAGTTGGGTGAAAAAAAAACCGACCCCCCCGCCACCTCTAGAGAGAGAATGACGTCAAAATCCACGAAAATCTTTCATCCTTTAATTAGTTTAATTAAATTATCAGTTGTGTTTAGTTTCAATTTGTAATGTATAGAAAAAACAAATGTTGATAAGACAGCGAGGTAAAAAAAAAAAAAAAAAAAACACTGGCCGGGTACCCCAGTTGGGCTTCCCCCACCTTGTTGAGGTGGCCATGTATTGTGATCGATTTAAAATTTACTCAGTTCTACAATTTTATTTTACAAAAATAAAGTTTCTTAGTGCTGTTGTGAATATAATTCCCTTCACAATAACTTTTTAAAACAAATATTTATGGTACATTAAGTGATCAATAATAATTCTTAATGTAGTTTATGAAGTTAAAAAAATGAATTGTTGCTTATCAATTTAAGAATGACAATGTACTTAACTAAAAGCAGACGATTTTTAAGATTTATCCTTAATTGGTTACATTTTTTTACATATCACCGGATACACGTGTCATAGAAATAGAACTGTCTTAAAGAGAAATTAAAATAAGAAAACATTTGAATATGAAAATGTTTATAGATTCCAGTTCTAATAATCACTTTGCTTTTCATGGATTTTAAATTTAGCAGACAAATGGAATAAGACAGAATTCTTTAATTAAAAAAAGAAGAAGAAGAAAAAGAAGAAGAAGAAAGAACAAAGAAAAAACGAAAGAAAGAAAGAAAGAAAGAACGCACGAGCATATTTTACGGAAGTGCTACCCTCCAATCAACAAGAGCCACGTGGTCATTTCTACTACCACAAACAGACGCCATATTCCCCAAAATATAATCCTCGTCCTGCAATTGCGGCATCGGACAAGAGTCTCCCGAAAAACACAAGAAACGAAAATAATTCAATTGCAACCATGAGGGCCTTTATGTTAACTGGATTTAGTGTCATTCTAACTACGGTGGTTATAGCTAATGCTTATTACCAAAAGAGTCAGTTTTACCCGTCTGTTGTCTACATTACTAAATCAAATGGTAGTATGGCTGTAAGTAATTAATCATTTGTTATTGTTTTTTGTGTATTGTTTTGATTCCAGGTATGAGTGTAAATATTTTAGATGAACTCTGTCTTGGTACAATATGCAAAGTTTTGCGATTTTTATTTTATTTTTTAAATTAACTCTGTTTTAAAAATAACTTAGAGTTGTTTCAGGTTTTTTTTAGCGTGAATATTGTTTTTTGTGTGGTTTTACGTTAATTTGTTGTTACAATAACTTTTTATTTAATTGAGAATACAAGTATTTTTTAAACGCCAACTTTCAACTTTTATACTCGATTAAAAATATCAAAATACATGTATTTGCACAATTTATCTATTAGTAGTGTTCATTTTTTTTTTACTTAAAAAGGTTTTTTTTCTTTAACAGTGTAACACTTATTTATTATACTTGATGATTGAGTTTTTATGCATGTGTTGTTCTATCAAATTTTGCATCGTATTTTTAATTTATCTTGACAGTAAAGATCTCATTCTTCAGTCAATGTATATGTACACGACAGAAAAAAAGTGGCAACAACTATGTAATTTGCACTATTGTTTGATTTTTTTTTTCTTGTTATTTTCTCCATACTGAAAAAAAATAATTTATTGATCTATTATTTCTATGCGAATAAAATAAACGATACTAATTTTAGTATTAACTGTGATTTTAATGAATCCACCTGAAACATTCTTAATTACCTCCCTTGTTTTCGGTCTCATCCATTCAAGTAGAATTTTTCATTATACTGGGGTTTGTTTGCTTTTTAGTGTTAGTTATAGATACACATTTTTATGAATAAAATGCTTTGTAAGCAGCTTCACTAGTATATAAGAGATTGTTAGTGATAAAGGTTTATATTCCAATGTTTGTTTTTTTTGCATCAATATTCCAAGCAATAAATAAAAATTGACTTTCACTACGAGTGTTATGAATTATGCATTATTTTTTATGGTTGACCTGAGACTGGAACTCAAGACAGACTTTGAGGTAAAAGATGTTTGACGACGTCTTGGATTTTATTTTTAACTAGTAGTTTTTTCACAGGTCATAGGTTATTTTTTTTTTTAACTACGGAAGGTCATCCAGACGCTAGCAGCATTATGAAGTTTTTTTTAGTGATAAAAAAAACATCACATCATTCTTCTTCTTGGTTAAAGTTACTGCTTTAGTGCCTACTAACTTATTTTCCATTTTCGTCAGACTGAAAGTAAATAATGGTGATGAAAAAATTGCATTTGTACTAAGGATTCTGAATTTAGAGATATTTTTTTAAAAGCAATCATCTACCATGTTTTGTTTTTTTAAAATTTAATAATGGTCTAATAAATTGGAATCAAAAATGAAAAATAGATGAATCAAACTGTTTTTAGTTTTTCAAGGCAATTATTGACTATTGAAAACTAAACAACTCTCTGTGCTAATCTCTGATTAAAAAAAAAAAATGTCCATGTCACCTGGACCAGGTGGTTTCATGATCTTATTCTCCGGCAGCATCTTCTGAGTTGACACTAAAAAAAAAAAAAAATTTCTTTTTACAATGTAATTGTAATGCAGATTCCTAAGTCCTGACACACACACAAAAAAAATAGGGGCTAAATTTCACCATCCGGACACTGAAAGAAATTCAATTGATCATTTCAAAACATCTTTGTATTGTAGTGACAGTCGAATGAAATTCATCTGTTTTTTACGCCTGAGTACGAAAACTTTTGGTAATAATTTTTTAGCATCTTTTGAAAAGATGCTAAAAAATTATTTCTAACATTAAAAATTAAATTAACATAATTTAAAATAACATAACTTTTAACTCTTATTTATTTTAATTTTTTTTTGTAAATTGCCGTGGTTCTTCTTGTATAATTAATTTACAGTTTACTTGTTTTACTACATAACATAACAACATTTAACAACCTTTTCTTTTTCGTTCCTTATTGTTAATACAGGAATTTGATAATAAACTCCTTTCTTTATTGATGTATAGTATACTATACTTTTTTTAAATATTTACTAGCAAAAAACAACAAAAAAAAACACGCAGCTGCAGTTAAAAATAATAGAATTAGTCTCCTGGAGTAGGAATAATAATTAAAACCATTGAATCATCAAAATTAGAGAGAAAAAAATGGTTATTTTCCAAAATTGCTTCTTTTTTTTTTTTACGTAGCTAGTAAGCTCTTTTCGTTGCCACCAAAAGTAAAATAGAAAATAATGAGTTTTACTTGTACTGTTTTTTTAATCAGGATATTTAGTATTACTAAAAGACTTAAGAAGAATCTCCAATGTCCTCTGTGTATAATCAAGTTTCTTAATTTAAAAATGTAGGTAATTGTTTCATCAATTGTCCATTCTATCAAAGCTAGTTTCGTACAAAAAAAACATCTTTAATTTTCCTCAGAATGAAACTACAGAGTTTTAAATTCTCAAATAAATTTTTGGGTGGTTGAATTTACATGGTTGGGTGATAGAATTTAAAGCATCTCTTAGTAACCGGAATTTTAAATTTATTATACCCGGCGTCGCTTGTACTTTACGATACTGCCAGATTTCGTTGGTTTTTTTCATCACTGTGAGGAATACCAAATTCCTTAATTTCTTAATGATGTAACTTTAAATTAAATATATATATATTTTTTTTTTTTTTTTTTTTGTTATAAAGTAACTAACTTGCTTTTATGTAGGTTTATACGATCGCGCCCCCACGTCGCAATAGAACGTGACACAAGGCCAGGGTTTTAAATGTGAGATTTCCTGGAAGCCGTACAAAAATTGCTCATTGTTACTTCCTTAAACACCTGGTAATAACCCAGCCACCTCCTGAATGAGAGGTACCGCCTTAGAAAATGCCCCATCTTCCCTGTGCCTTAAGCTGTTTCAAACTACCCATACTTGTAGGTTTTTTAAACTAAACACATGAAATGATCAAGTTGGTTTCCATCTTTTGCCACTACATTTGCATAGTGACAATTGAATGTTAGTCGATAAGATTGTATTATTTTGTAGTTGAAAGCAACTCAATGATTATTATAGCAACTTTTAGTTTCAAGCCTCTTTTATATACCATGCTCTTTTAGGACGTGAGTGATCTGGCTTTTCACAGCTTCCTCTATTGTTGTTCTAAGTAATCTTTTGATGCTTTATCATCCCTCTGTTTTGTCATCTAGTCATTCGTTAAGCAGGTTTCTCACTATTTCTCCTTGCTTGTTTTTGCTTTCAATATGTCCTGTGAGTGTTAAATTCTCCAGGCTCTCTTTCCTCATCATGTATCTCGGAAATTTCAGCTGTCATTTTCTAATTGTATGTATCAGTTTCATTGTAGTTCACTTTCCCTTTCAACTTCCTCATTGCTTACATGTTTTGTCTATTGTGTTTCCAGGATTTGCCCGCAGAACTACATCTGTTTGTTTTTTACTTTTTTTTTTTTTTTTTTTTGTTTCAAGTCTCTTTTTAATTTGTGAGGAGATTGTCTAGCATTCACTGCAATATAGGAGATTACATAGCATTTCAAGACTCAGATATTTTCCTATATCTTAATACTTTGATTAATTTCTGAAAGACATCTTTCACTATTCTTATGTACCTTTTGATTTTTTTTTCTTTTGTTCTTTCAGTTATCTGTTACTACACTACCCAGTGAGTTAAATTTCTTGCACCTGACTTATTTTGACATAACAAATTTATAGCTCACACCTTAAAATCATTTGCTGACAACCATCAATTCTGTCTTACAATTTAACTCCTTTTTTTGTTTTCCTTTGCTCTTTTGTTTAAGAGTCCTTTAAGTTTTCTTTCTGGGTCTGACATAAACAGTTTAATCCTGTGTATCTTATGTTGTTTAGATTAGGTCTGGAAATAATAAATCATAGTGAATTTTGTAATTCTTTTAGGATCATTTTACTATACAAATTAAATCTGGTGTGCAAAATTGGTGTCTGTTTTTCTATTTTTGTGCATTTACTGAAACTGTTCTGTCCACATGTTTTACAGATTACTTTAATAATCTTCCAGGTGTAAATCAAATATTTCAAGTATCTCTTTGTGTCATATCTTATAAAAGATGTTTGTGCTTGCTTTTGGCATAGATTTTTAAAAGCATTCTTTTGCTAATTAATGACTATGAAGCATTAAAAACCTGGAATATATATTTTTTTATAGTGTCTAACTGAAATTTATAAATAATATATTTGTGCTGAATATATATGGTATAAACAATCTTTTCTTTATTTTTTTATTTACTTTTTGTTCTTGCTCTGTTTAACTTTTGTATTACAGTAAAGATTGTCATTTCTTGAGCATTTGTATTAAATCATTTGTTAAATGATAGTACTTGTATAGAACAGAAATTTGTTTCTCTCACCCAGCTATTATGTATCTGGTCATAAACTGGTATTAATTGAAAGATTTTTATAGGACAATACATTTTACAGTGGAAAGGGAAACTGATGGTAAACAGCTATTTACTGTTTTGCATTAAGTAGTCCCTTCAATAAGATTTCTAGGTAACTTTTGTATCAATCAATATAGAATTGAATTGATTTCCTAAATATGCATGTTATTGTTAGTCACATATTGTATTAAGCCTTTGACTATAAAGATTAACATTTTCTTAAAAATGATTGAAAAAATATTTTATATAATAAATAACAAATTACCTCTTGGTGTAGGAAATGATTTTTTTGATGATTTATTTTACTTGGGTATCAGCATTTTAATATTTAATATTTTTAAATTAAATATTAATAAAAATTTGTTTTCAAATATTTTAACTCCATGTCAGTTTTAATGTCAATATTTTTTAATTTCTTATGACTGCAGATCATTTTTAAACTATTAAAATATATGTGTTCTCATCCTATTCCAGTCACTCACTTCATTCTAGGATTCATTACTCCAGAAAATGAATAAAACAAAACAAAGAAAATGTCTATAAAATGATATGGGTTTAAGATAAGTTTGAGTATTCCAGTATGAAGCTATATCTGGTAAATTGAGTTTCTTTTGACATC